TAAATAGGTCACAATCGTCATAAGAGGTCTGGTTGAGACCAGCAAGTCCCCTCTCCCCACACTCCAAAAATGAGGGGACAAGACCCTCACTTATTCCTCAGGTTCCTTCATGGTGAGCACAGGGCATTCATTTAGCTCAACCCAGCACTGGTCCCCCATGGATCACCCCAACACCCCAGGGGCTCTCAGCCCCAGGGCACGCATGACAATCATTCAAGGTGCATTTTCAAAAATACGTATGCAGGGCCCCGCCCCCAGAGACTGATCCTGGTGGCCTAGGAGAGGACCAGGGGCATGGTGGTGTTTTTAAAAAACCACAGGCCTAGCGTGCTCAACTCCCAGCGCGGCTCAGTGGCCAAACAACAATCCTAAACCCTCACGTGCTCTGCGCTGCTGGGCCCGCCTATCTGCAGCTGATCCCGTAGTTATTTCTCCGAGCCTTCGTCCAGGGAATGCTCACACCTGGCCTTGAACATTTACACCACATCCTTTGTCAGGATGCTGTGCTATACACGAGGCCAGCGTTTCCACTTCATCCGCTTTTCTGGCCTCTGAGGCAGGTCCTTTAGACCTCAGAAATAGCCTGTCCAGGGCGCACAGGGAAGGGCAGAGGGAACCCAGGTTCACCTGACTCCTGGGCTACAACATCTGTTTGTCCACCTGAGCTAAGGTATCCCCTTCAAGACCTCCTGTCATGGCCCTTGAAAGGATTCCCTCATTTAAAAATACTCATTGCATCACGCGACCGGGCAGATATCTATCTGCCTTAAATCTTAACTCTCTAGCTGCGTTGTTGGGTCGCTGTTACCCCAGACTCTCCATCTAATCAGCAGGGGCGGTGGGCCAGGAACTGCAGGCAACATTGCCTCTAGGGCGGGCCTTCTTTATTCCTTAAACATGTGCTATGGTATTTCACACAAGAAAATATTTACAGGGCATCCCCTTTTACTCATCAGGGAAATATAAATTAAAACCAAAATAAGATGCTACTACACACCCACCAAAATAGCTAACATAAAAAGACAGAAAAAAATCTATGATTGAGGATGTAAAGCACCTGGAACTCTCATATACTGCTCGTGGGAGTAGAGATTGGTACTAATATTTTATTTATTTTGTAGGGACAGGATCTTGCTATGTTGCCCACGCTGGAATGCAGCGGTTATTCACGGACGCAGTCTCATTACTGATCAGCACAGGAGCTTTGACCTGCTCTGTTTGTGAGCTGGGCTGCTTCACCCCTCCTTAGGCAACCTGGTGGTCCCCCCATCTTAGGAGGCCACCATATTGATGCCAAACTTAGTGCAGACACCCAACTGGCATAGGGCACTACAGCCTAGAACTCAAGCAATCCACCTGCTTCAGCCTCTTGTGTGGCTGGGACCAGGCATGTGCCAGGTATAAATATTCCAGAAAACGATTGGGTAGTACCTTCTAAAAGCTAAACATAAACTTACCGGGGCCAGCCATTCTCCTCCCAGGTATGTTTCAAAATAAATGCATATACGTGCCCGTCAAAAGACATTTACAAGAGTATTTATAGCCACTCTATTCTTGGTAGCCGTAAGCTAGAAACAGTTCAGATGTACGTCAGCAATGGAATGGGGAAGTAAGCCATAGTATACTCACATAGTGTAAATCCCACACTCCAGCATAAACCAGCGAAAAACAGTCAGACATACCACATGGAAGTCTCGGCAATAAAACATCAAGCAAAAGTAGCTACAAGGAAGATATTACAAGCTGTATGTTTCCATTTATGTAAAGTTGTCAAAGAGGCATAATCTGTGGACTTAGAAATTGAAGATACTGTTTGCCCTTGTGTGACGGTGGTACCCAGTATGGGCATATGGGAAGCTTCTGGAGAGGTGGTAATACTCTACCTATCTTCTTTGGGGTAGCAGTTACATGACATGTTCACTCAGAACCATTTAATCAAATGTTCGTTTAGGACACGTGCTTTTGTTTTGTTTTGTCTTGAGATGGAGTCTCGCTCTGTCTCTCAGGCTGGAGTGCAGTGGCGCAATTTTGGCTCACTGCAACCTCTGCCTCCTGCAACCTCCGCCTCCTGCAACCTCCGCCTCCTGAAGCAATTCTCCTGCCTCAGCCTCCCAAGTAGCTGGGATTATAGGTGACCTCCACCACACCCAGCTAATTTTCGTAGTTTTAGTAGAGACGGCGTTTCACCATATTGGTCAGGCTGGTGTTGAACTCCTGACCTCACGATCTGCCCGCCTCAGCCTCCCAAAGTGCTGGGATTACAGCTGTGAGCCACCATGTCTGGCCAGACATGTGCTTTTCTAATATGTATGTTGTGATTTAATAAACACTTGACGATCTACAGCCTGGTACATATGTGACCTGAAAAGGAGACCAAGAGACAACCTGAGTGTCCAGCCGATGTGTATGCAGGACGCGAGCCTACCTCTAGGCACCTGGACCAGCTGCATGTATGCCTTGTACAGGTTCCTCCGGCAGACTGGGCTAGGGTCATTCAGCAGGAAGGACAGGGCAAGGACGATGTTGTGCTCCAGAAAGGCGAATCTAGGGAAGGGAGGGTGGAGAGAGACATAAGTGAGACCATGGCCTGAGAGGGTCAAATATGAAAAGTCAGGTTCCCTGCTGGAGTCTGATCCATGCTATCTGGGGGAGACCACATTCCTGACTCACACCTAATCCCAGTGCTTTGGGAGACTGAGCTGGGAGAATCACTTGGGTCAAGAGTTCCAGACCAGCCTGGCAACATGGTGAGACCCAGTCCCTACCTAAAATTTTAAAAGCCAGGCATGGTGGTGTGTGCCTGTGGTCCCAGCTGCTCGGTAAGCTAAGGTGGGTGAATCGTTTGAACCTCAGAGTTCGAGGCTGCAGTGAACTATAATCATGCCACTAAGCTCCAGCATGGATGACAGAGCTGAGTCTTGTCTCTTAAAAACTAAAAAGACTCTAGAAGGGTTGTGCATACAGATTATTTCATTAATGTCTTTGAGTTCTTGCTTTACTTTAAAGAAACCAAAGCTGCAAATCAGATGATGTTATGAGTACAGTTTAAGCAAAAAAATATGATGAGAAACACCAACCAGTGGTCTCATATCCAAGAAAAGGCCTGGGCCCCACATGGGGATGGGTGAATGCCTTAACCTTTGCATTTGGGGTTAAAATGAACCATTTAAAGAGAACCATTTCTTCAGTTCCTTGTTTTGTAATCATTTCTTTTTGATTAACCGACTGCTGGACCTGAGTGCACCTGAAAGAGGCCTTCTGAGGTCACATCTCTCAGGCTGGGTTCAGGAAGTAATGCGATGCATGCGGTAGCCCCTTAGCCAAGTGCCCACAGGAAGTGCCCAGCCAGTTGTGCTACTGCAGCACTGGTCACAATTTCACTTATGGTGTGTTTTGAATTGTTCTCAAAGAAGAAAGTCACTGTGGGACACGCAAGCTGCAGGGGTCTTCCCTGACTGCGGAGGCCTCCTTGGTCAGTGCCTATAACCCACTCCATGTTTCTTATGCTTTGAAAGTCAGCTGTGGCCGGGCGTGGTGGTTCACACCTGTTATCCCAGCACTTTGGGAGGCCGAGGCAGGTAGATCACAAGGTCAGGAGATCAACACCATCCTGGCCAACAAGGGGAAGCCCCATCTCTACTAAAAATACAAAAATGAGCTGGGCGTGGTGGCATACACCTGTATTCCCAGGTACTCAGGAGGCTGGGGCAGGGGAATAGCTTGAACCCGGGTGGCAGAGGTTGCAGTGAGCCCAGATAGTGCCACTGCACTCCAGCCTGGAGACAGAGCGAGACTCTGTCTCACAAAAAAACAAACAAAAAAAGTCGGTTGTGTTTGCCTGTGTGCCTCCTACCTGGGAAGTTCAGGTCTGCTACTTAGAGCTTATGGGGCTCTGACAGCTGTTGGCACTGGTTATAAGATCACCACTGACCTCAGGGGAAATTTAGAAGTTGGCCACATTTCTGAGAATGCTGAAGGAGTGCACGGGCCAGGTCATATCAGGTCCTTGTCAGGGATGGTCACTTCACCACGTTCCTGCCTCGCTAATGTGGACAAAGACAGGACCCTTGGCTTAGGCACTCCAGCCAGTCTGCCTTCCTACTATTCTTTATAAGTAGGTTGGTGCAAAAGTAATTGCGTTCTTGGCTGTGACTTTTAATCCCAAAACCGCAATTACTTTTGCACTAACCTAATAATTGCTCAGGCTTCAAGGTCCTGTCCTCTTAGCATCTGTCCCCTCTCACTGGGGGTTACTACTTAATGTCCAGAAAAGTGGGGAAAAAAGAACAGCAGGGCCGGGCATGGTGGCTCACGCCTGTAATCCAAGCACTTTGGAGGCCAAGGCGGGCGGATCACCTGAGGTCAGGAGTTCAAGACCAGCCTGACCAACATGGTGAAACCCGTCTTTTAAAAAAAAAAGAACAGCAGGAAAGGTAACTTGCCTCCTCTGTGCCCCTGACCTTTGAAAGCACCTTGCCTGGGTCATCTGAGGTCTGCAGAGTAAGGCTGGAATCAGGAGTGTTGCCCAGGTCACAGAGCAGGAAAGAGTGGGCCCCTTGAGAGGCCGGGATTTGTGCCCCCACTTCACTGGTCTGTCCGCAGTACCGGCCTGCCCTTCTTGGTACAAAGCATGTGAATTAAGGTGCTAGCCTTGGCACCACCTCCACACACACACGGTTCACACAGGGCCAGGGCTGCACACAGGATCAGCCACCAAGGCAACGAGAGCTTGGGGACTAGCAGGGCTGAGTGACTTTGGGTTTTGTGAGGTGTCCTGGCACTCCTGAAATGATCTGGAGCCTCTCTGAATGGGTGCCTGTTTACACCACACAGGCCCCAGGGCAGTCAGCACTTTGCCTCCCTTCTTGTCTTTTCTTCCTTCTAGGCCTGTGCACACTGGGCAGTGGCCTCCTTTATCCAGAAGACCTGGGGCAGGGCTTGGGGGTGTTTGTGATGTGGGGTTCTGTTTTTGTTTTTTGTTGTTTTTAGTGGGAGGCTGGTGGGGAAAGCTTCCAGTGAAAACAAGAAAACCTGCCAGACACATTCGAAAAGAGCTGTAGCATTGAGATTTTGTGTTTTGTTTGTTTTGTTTTGTTTGTTTGTTTGTTTTGAGACAGAGTCTTGCTGTGTCACCAGGCTTGAGTGCAGTGGCGCAATCCTGGCTCACTGCAACTTCCACCTCCTGGGTTCAAGCAATTCTTCCGCCTCAGCCTCCCGAGTAGCTGGGACCACAGGCGCATGCCACCATGCCTGGCTAATTTTTATATTTTTAGTAGAGACGGCGTTTCACCATGTTGGCCAGGATGGTCTCGATCTCTTGACCTCGTGATCCACCCACACTGGCCTCACAAAGTGCTGGGATTACAGGCATGAGCCACCGCGCCTGGCCGCGATTTTGTTTTTAATACAAAGTAAACCTAGTGATCACTGGACGAGTGAGCCAAGAAGCACCTCCAGCCATCCCCACCCTGTTGCCCCAGCACCTAAGTAAAATGTTATATGAAATACTTTAAAATGTGAATCAGGCCGGGCGCGGTGGCTCAAGCCTGTAATCCCAGCACTGTGGGAGGCCGAGGCGGGTGGATCACAAGGTCAAGAGATTGAGACCAGCCTGGTCAACACGGTGAAACCCCGTCTCTACTAAAAAACCAAAAAATTAGCTGGGCATGGTGGTACATGCCTGTAATCCCAGCTACTCAGGAGGCTGAGGCAGGAGAATTGCCTGAACCCGGGAGGCGGAGGTTGCGGTGAGCTGAGATCGCGCCATTGCACTCCAGCCTGGGTAACAAGAGCGAAACTCCGTCTCAAAAAAAAGAAAAAAAAAAAAAATGTGAATCTGTGCTTACACAGGAAAAGGACACTTCCAGGTGCCAGAAACCAAGAACCTGGCCGTCATGAACAGGAAGTGAGGCCACCAGCCCAGACCAGATATGCACTTTGAGGCTGTTGTTTTAATACCCTCACAGGGACAGGAGCCAAAGCCACAGTCCCCGTGGGGATCTGGGTTGGAGAACTGGTCTCTCTGTAAAAAGCTAAGAAATGTCAAAATTGGGCCGGGTGCGGTGGCTCAAGCCCGTAATCCCAGCACTTTGGGAGGCCAAAGCGAGCAGATCACCTGAGGTCGGGAGTTCGAGACCAGCCTGACCAACATGGAGAAACTCTGTCTCTACTAAAAATACAAAAATTAGCCAGGTGTGGTGGCGCATGCCTGTAATCCCAGCTACTTGGGAGGCTGAGGCAAGAGAATCACTTGAACCCGAGAGGCAGAGGTTGCAGTGAGCCAAGATTGTGCCATTGCACTCCAGCCTGGGCAACAAGAGCGAAACTCCATCTCAAAAAAAAAAAAAGAAAGAAAGAAAGAAAAAGAAATGGCAAAATTGTTGCAGAGGTAGGATCTGAACTTTCTTCCCACCTTGAAAGTGGGAAGCCTGGCTGGGTGCGGTGGCTCATGTCTGTAATCCCAGCACTTTGGGAGGCCGAGGCAGGCAGATCATTTGAGCCCACGAGTTCGAAACCAGATTGGCCAACATGATAAAACCCTGTGTCTACTAAAAATACAAACATTAGCCAAGCATGATAGCGCATGCCTGTAGTTCCAGCTACTCAGTAGGCTAAGGCACAAGAATTGCTTGAGCCTCAAGGGGCAGACGCTACAGTAAGCTGAGATCATGCAACTGCACTCCAGCCTGGGCAACACAGCAAGAGGCAGTCTCAAAGTAAGAAAAAGGAGGAGAGAGAGAGAAAGAGAGAGAGACAGAGAGAGAGAGACAGAGAGAGAGAGAGAGAGAGAGAAAGAAAGAAGGAAAGAAAAGGAAAGAAGGAAGGAAGGAAAGAAGGTAGGGAGGGAGGGAGGGAGGCAGGAAGGATGGGAGTAAGGGAAGAAGGGAGGGAGGGAGGAAGGAAGGGAAGAAGCAGCTCAGAGCTCAAAACATAAAAATCAGTCTAGGGCCGGGCGCGGTGGCTCAAGCCTGTAATCCCAGCACTTTGGGAGGCCGAGGCGGGTGGATCACGAGGTCAAGAGATCAAGACCATCCTGGTCAACATGGTGAAACCCCGTCTCTACTAAAAATACAAAAAATCAGCTGGGCATGGTGGCGCATGCCTGTAATCCCAGCTACTCAGGAGGCTGAGGCAGGAGAATTGCCTGAACCCAGGAGGCGGAGGCTGCGGTGAGCCGAGACCGCGCCATTGCACTCCAGCCTGGGTAACGAGAGCGAAACTCCGTCTCAAAAAAAAAAAAAAAAAAATCAGTCTCAACAGAGGGCCCATTAGATCCCCAAAGAGGCAACCAAAACCACCCCACAAAGAGTCTCGCTCTGGCTAAATTGAAGTCCCTCCAGAAACTGGTGCTGCAGACAAAACTCCAGAGCGCTCTAGGTGGCTCAAGGGAATCCACCCAGACGCACGTGCAGGATCTGAACTACCCAGGAGAGAAGTGCGGCTTGCAAGTGTCACACTGGTTTCCAGAACAGCGTCCCACCTGCCCACGCTGTGGCTCGCCACGATGTGGAGCACCTCGGTGGTCTTTATCCGCACCATGCTGTTTCTATCCTTCAGCAAAGCTTTCAAGTTCTCCATGCAACCTACAACAAACAAACAGACCCTTGAATGTTTGCCAGTCTCAGAAACCAACTAACCCAGAAGTCAACAAGTGGGCCAGTTGGGACAGGAAGGTACCAGAGGTTCCTCTGATTTGGGGACCTGGGGAATCATGTGGGTTATGCAGCATTTCAGAGTTACTGAAGAGGCTCATACCCAGGGACTGTCCCATCCAACCCTCCTAGTGATTCTCCCTGCACACTTCCTACCAGTGCCTTCTCACAAAGTCTGCCATGGGGATAAGAAAGTGGCCTTTGCCATTTATTTGAACCCAAGAGAGACATGGGGTCAAATTATAAACCTGTCTCAAACTAGTCACATGACCTTGAGTGGGTTACACTTAGGGATGCCAGATTTGGCAAATAAAAATGCAGCTTTAACCGGGTGCGGTGGCTCACGCCTGCAATCCCAGCACTTTGGGAGGCTGCAGCGGGCGGATCACTTGAGGTCAGGAGTTTGAGGCCAGCCTGACGAACACGATGAAACCCTGTCTCTACTAAAAATACAAAAATTAGCCTGGCATGGTGGCAGGCGCCTGTAATCCCAGCTACTCGAGAGGCTAAGGCAGGAGAATTGCTTGAACCCAAGAGGCGGAGGTTTCGGTGAGCCGAGATTGTGCCATTGCACTCCAGCCTGGATGACAGAGAGAGATTCCATCTCAAAAAAATAATAAATAAATAAAAACCCAGCTTTATTTGTTTATTGGGCAACCCTAGACTCATAACCCTTCTCTGAAGTGTGCTTTTCTTATTTGTTGCTTGCGAATGGACCCTCCTTTGTAGGCGGCTACTCTGAGGAATAAGATAGTCCAGGCTGGGTGTGGTAGCTCATGCCTATAACCCCAGAACTTTGGAGGCTGACCTGAAAGGATCATTTGAGGCCAGGAGTTCAAGAACAGCCTGGGCAACATAGCAATGTCTTGTTTATTAAAAAAAAAAAAAAAAAATGCAAGGCTGGGCGCAGTGGCTCAAGCCTGTAATCCCAGCACTTTGGGAGGCCGAGGCGGGTGGATCACGAGGTCAAGAGATCGAGACCAGCCTGGTCAACGTGGTGAAACCCCGTCTCTACTAAAAATACAAAAACATTAGCTGGGCATGGTGGTGCGTGCCTGTAATCCCAGCTACTCAGGAGGCTGAGGCAGGAGAATTGCCTGAACCCGGGAGGCGGAGGTTGCAGTGAGCCGAGATCGCGCCATTGCACTCCAGCCTGGGTAACAAGAGTGAAACTCCGTCTCAAAAAAAAAAAAAAAAGTTTTTTAGGTAGTCAGGCATGGTGGTACATGCCTGTAGTCCTAGTTACTCAGGAAGGATTTCTTGAACCCAAGATTGCAAGGTTACAGTGAGCTATGATTCTGCCACTGCCTGGGAGATGGCAAGACCCTGCCCCTATAAATAACTATTTTTTAAAAAGAACCTAGGCACTGCACCTGAGGTGGAACTGGCCTGGAGTCAGGCTCAAACAATAGCAACCCTGATTACTGAAGTTCTACCAAGTGTCCAAAGCCATGCTAGAACCGCAGTCACGGTCACCCGTGCTGTGTCATGCTCACCTATGTTCATGGCCTTGTAGATATGCTCGGGGTCATGCATGAGGTCACACAGGGCCATGAGGGCTTTCTGCCTCGTCTGGAGGTCCTCTGACTGCAGCTCCTCATTCAGCTTAGGTAGTGCCCGATGGCCATAGGCAGTGGTAACTTGGGCGGCATTGATGTTAGTGGAAAGTTCCATGGAGTTTCCAGATTGGGCCATCTTTCCCCAACTATAGAGGCCTCTCCAAACAAAGCTCTGCGGAAACCACTCACTAAAAGAACCCAAAAAGCTGTTATGATTTCAAAGCAACTTCTCGTTTGATCCTCCAGACTCCGAGGGCAGGCAGATGGGTATTTTTACTTTCATTTTACAGATGAGCAAACTGAGGCTGAGAGCAATGAAGAGGTTTGCTTAAAGTCCCAGGGAAGGCAAGCAACAGCCCAAATTGCAGACTCCAGAGCTCTCCCACACAATAGTGCTTCACAGAAGAAACCACTGACACTTTCATCTGGATCTTCAGTCAAAGGCACCAAAGGACAAAACAAATCCAACAGGCAAACCCCAAGATGATCACTGTGTTTCATGCTTATCTTGTTCCAGTAATAAGTAGTTTAAACTCAATAAGAAGGGGGCTTGTATTATCCACATTTTACAAATGAGGAAGCCGAGGTTCTGGCCAAGGAGCTTACTGGAGGCCATGAAACTGGTAAGAGTAGGAGTCAGTGTTCAAATCTGGGTCTAGTCCATTCACTGCGAGGAACCCATATTCAGATGTTTCTGACACATCCATGAAAAATAATTAATGCTAAAAGGTGATTTATTTTTATTACACACACACACCCAGTTTTAGCAACTATTTAAGTAGTGTGGATTAGTAGTTAAGAACTGACTCCAGACTCAAGCCATGGGTGACCCTTGGCAAGCCACTTCATCTATGTGTGTCTTTCTGCAGCTTCAAAGGGGAGATGATAACAGCACCTCCTTCCCTCCCTCCCACAGTTGTTATGTTAACTAATACACACGAGCCCGGCACACCAGGGCTTCAGATGCATTGGCTGTGGTTTTTATCATGGTTGATTTCATGATTAGTCGAATGGACAGACAGGCCCCAGCCCTGTAGGAATCTCCTCCGGTGAAAGGTAAGCCAGATGCTCACGCAGGACACCAGATGCAAACGGTAGGGGTGGGGGCCGGGCTGGGAGGAACGTGGCCATATTTGAGTTGAGCTGCCCTCGCAGGAACGGTGGGCGCTGGAGACAGGGGCCTGCCTTCCTCTAAGGGGCATGGGCTGGAAGCGTCCGGCCGGAGACGAAACAGTGTGACTTTGAGTATGGGGACACGGGCCACTTGTGAATGGGACTGGGTGGGTCACTGGGCCCCCTGTACCCGGGGCCCTAGCCCACCGCCGCCGCCTCACCTGCTTCCGCAGCCGTTTCTGCTTGCAATAGCGCGCGCCCGCGGCCAACCTGTTCAGTTGCCAGGCGACTTCGTTGCCAGGCGACTCTGGCAGCGTCTGCCGCGCCGCTTTCTACGTACTCAGCGCCCACCGCGCAGGCGCAGACAACCCAAGGCTGCCGCAGGCTGCCAAGTGGGAACAATAATTTACAGAGTTACCGTGGGGACCAAGGGCAGCTCAGCTTTGTTCAAGGTACAAAAGGGAAAGGAAGTGACTTACTTACGCCCTTCTCTGTGCTGGGTACTTTGCATGCTTCACTCTGGTAAAGATCCCCATGCGCATGTAAAACTGGTAACATTTGTGTGCGTTTCTCTTGCTAATCTGCCTGTTGTTAATTTGGTTTCTAGATCCAGGCAAAGAGCCCACTTAGGAGCTAAAGGAGGGTTGAGGCCAGGTGGAGTGGCTCACGCCTGTAATCCCAACACTTTGGGAGGCCAAGGTGAGCAAATCACATGAGTCCAGGAGTTCAAAACCAGCCTGGCCAACATGGTGAAACCCAGTCTCTGCTAAGAAAATAAAAAAATAAATAAATAAAAAGAAAGAAAAAACACTTAAAAATTAGCCAAGCGTGGTTGGTGAGCACCTGTGGTCCCCGCTTCCAGCTACTCAGGCGGCTGAGGCATGAGAATCCCTTGAGCAGGGAAGCGGAGATTACAGTGAGCCGAGATCCCGCCACTGCACTCCAGCCTTAGCGACAAAGCACAAAGCAAGACTCCATCTCAAAAACAAAAGAGCTAAGGAGGATTGAGGGTGATCTCTGTCTCCTGCCACATCCCCAAATCCCAATTAGTAATTGATCCCACAATATTTAATCTTCCCTTCTAAATCCATTGGCACACTCCCTTCCCCTGATTCTCTATTTACATCTCTGCCTCTCCCAGCAGACTCCAATTTTCCTGAGGGTGGACACCATGTCAGTTCTGTTTCCTTGTCTCCCCAGTGCTAGGTATATACCTGGAAGCTTTCAGTACGTGTAGGACAAATGAATGGTTAATAGACTGGAGTCAAGCTTTACAATATAAAAGCACTTTCACCATCTCATGTGGATCCCTTGAAGTAGGTAGTTGTGTTCATTTTATAATTGAGTAAACTGAGGTGTGGAAGATGGAACAACTCACCTAAGTTCACCCCCTAAGCCTCAACCGTAGCAGTGAAACTCACTAAATGGGTCGGGCGCGGTGGCTCACGCCTGTAATCCCAGCACTTTGGGAGGCCGAGGGGTGGATCACGAGGTCAGGAGATTGAGACCATCCTGGTCAACACGGTGAAACTACCAAAACTACAAAAAATTAGCTGGGCATAGTGGCGCGTGCCTGTAATCCCAGCTACTCAGGAGGCTGAGGCAGGAGAATTGCCTGAACCCAGGAGGCGGAGGTTGCGGTGAGCCGAGATCGCGCCATTGCACTCCAGCCTGGGTAAGAAGAGCGAAACTCCGTCTCAAAAAAAAAAAAAAAAAGGAAGAAACTCACTAAATGACATTAAACAAAGCCAGGTGTGGAGGCCCTCGCCTGTAGTCCCAAGGACTGGGGAGGCTGAGGAGGGAGGATTCCTTGAGCCCTGGAGTTCGAGTCCAGCCTGGGCAACAAGCAAGAAGACTCCGTCTCCTAAGAAAAAAAAAAAAAAAAAATCAAACATCAGCCTCCAGCACACTTAGCTTTGAATTGAAGATGACTGACTTAAATCTATGTACCAAGGATTCCACATTGTGATGCAGAAAAGTTAAGGAGCTGAATTAAGTAGGTTCTCAAAGCTGAACTCTGGACTTCTCCAAAGCTGGTTCCACGGTTTTAGAAGGGCCTCGGGAGGCCATCTAGCCCAGAACAGCTCACTTTCCAAACCGAGACTAGCTCAGAGGAAATCACTGACTCAGGGCAGCTTTTTATTAAGGAAATTAATTTTGTACTGTGATCTCTAGAAGCCAGGCATATGATATTCAGACAACAATGGATTCAGAATTACGCAGACTAGGGTCAGTAGATGGTAGGTACGTCCATCAGTGGTGCTTGATTCCAATTGAACATCAGTACTACATCAGGAGTTCTGCCGTGACTGCACCACCTCTCCCAGCCGAGGTGATCGCCAGAAGCGAAGGCAGTCTCTCCATGGTCAGCCCCACCCACAGCCCAGGCTTCGACCCTGGGCCTCCATGGCCCCGCCTACCGCCCGCCTATCCAGCACCGCCATTGTTGTCTTGGTGATCTCCGGCGCTCCAGGGTGTTCGAGAGTCTCTCCGCTGCCAGCCCCGCCCAGACTCCGGGCAGGCTCTCGTTGCTATGGTGATCGCCGGCGCAAGCCGGATGCTTGGACGCGCTGCTGCCAGTCAAACGCAGACCCCGCCCCCGACGTCTGCGATTTGTGTAGCCCGCCTGTCCCGCGTGGCTCTCGTTGCCATGGTGATTGCCGCCGCTGGCTCAGGTGGACCAGGCCGCGCGGAGCCCCAGCCTTCGCAGCCACCATCCGTGAGTCCGCTCGCCTACTCTGTCCCGCCCTCCCGGCTGCCCACCCCCGTACTGGCACATCCGGGAGGCCAGGGCCACAAGGGCACCGCGTCCGCGCTCACTTCCCACCCCTATAACTTGAAAGCGGCCTGCGGCCCCGGAGCGTCCTCATTTCCTGAGCGCACACTGGGTCAGGCCCACGCTGGTCAGGGAGAAGAGCCGGGTCAGATGCGGGAGGTTAGCTGGACTCCACCAAGGCCACCCCAGCTGGGAGAGGGACCCAGACAGAAAAAGGAGACAGAGGGCTGTTGAGGAGGCTCGAGGAGTCAGAGGCCTGGTAAGGTGAGGGCTTTCAGGGAAAAGGCCTAGTTGGCTGAAACTTAAGGCCCCCAGGCCCACCTAGAGCCTTCATCCTTTGCAGACTAGGAGTAGGAGACCCCTCCCCACTCTACTTCCACTGCCTGAGCTGTGCGATGCCTCACAGCCCAGTAAGGTAAGCTCAGAGGGGGGACTCCTCCTTGGTAGACACCTGTCAAGGGGGGACCCAGGTCTTCTGACTCCCAGGCAGGGTGGGGCAGGCCTGGTTCCCCCATACCATGCTGCCTGCTATATGCAGATTGAGAGAAATGGCCTCTGTTCCAGCCTAGGTGACAGAGCAAGACTGTGTCTCTAAAAAAAGGAAAAAAGAAATGGAATGGCTGGATCTCAGAGAGATCTGATTTTATTTATTATTCTTGAGACAAGGTCTTACTCTATCACCCAGGCTGGAGTGCAGAGGCAACTTCATGGTTCGCTGCAGCCTTGACCTCCCAGGCTCAAGCGTTCCTCTCACCTTCCTCCCAAGTAGCTAGGACTGCAGGCACAGGCCACCATGCTCTTTTTTTTTTTTTAGAGAGAGGGAGATTTCACTTTGTTGCCCAGTCTAGTCTCAAACTCTTGGGCCCAAGTGATCCTCCCACCTTGGCCTCCCAAAGTGCTGGGATTACAGGCATGAGCCACTGCACCCAGACTGCATCTGATGAAAAGTTAGGTGGAAACTCATGGGTGAGTCCCCAGGCATTTGCACGGCTCCTTAACTCTCTTTCTCCTGGTTGGGTCCACAGGACTCTGGAAGAATGAAGTCCTCCCTTACACCTTTGGGGCCGCCCGTGAGCCGCGACCGTGTCATCGCCAGCTTCCCTAAGGTAGAGAAGCATTATGTCTGCAGTGCTCTCCTGCTGCTGCAGCCACATCGGCTCTCCCCACTCTACACTCGTGCCTAGAAGTAAAGCAGGTGAATTGAGGAGGTCCGTCCAGTGCCAGATTTACCCTGAGAAGTTGGGAGACTAGCCACTGACTGCCCAAGGCGGGGCAGCAGTGGGGCCTGGAGGTTATAAGGGCTAGGACTTTGCAGCCAGACAGTCCTTGATGTGTGTCCTTAATTCTGATCCTGTCATTAAGCTGTGTGACTGTGGGCAAAGTACTCATACTCTCAGAGCCACTGTTACATGGAGGTAATTCTTTTCATATTGGGTGCCTGGCTCATGGTGTGCGGGAGCTCCCTTACAGTCGTGGTTGCTGTTCTCATTACCACTGTTGTTACCAAAACGGCATTGCAGTTCCCTGACGCCAAATCCAGGGCTCTCTCCCCTTGCCATTCTGTCTCTATTTTCTGCTGCAAACTCACAGCTCTCTTCTGTCTGTATTAAAATCCAATGTTAATTGCAGCAGGGAATACAAATTAAGTACAACCTCCATATTTACCAGTATGGCAGATGACCTGCCCTCTGAGATCCAGCCATTCCATTTCTTTTTTTCCTTTTTTTAGAGACAGGGTCTTGCTCTGTCACCCAGGCTGGAGTGCAGTGGTATAATCATAGCTCACTCCTCAAACTCCTGGGCTGAAGCAATCCTCCCACCTCACCTCCTGAGTAGCTAGGACCACAGGCTTGTGCTACCATGCCTGACTAATTTTTAAATTTTTTTGTGGAGACGAAGTCTTGCTATGTTGCCCAGGGTCTTGAACCCCTGGCCTCAAACAATCCTCCCACCCAGGCTTCTAAAAGCACTGGGATTATAGGTGTGAGCCACCACAACCAGCCTTGCCATTCCATTTCTAGGAATTACTTGGCAGATGTTCTGGCCTGGGTTTACATTGTGCACAAGGATAGGCGTCGCAGAAGGTTGTAAGAATAGGAGGTCAGATATGACGTAAATATCCTCAAAGAGGAGACTGGTTAAACAAGTAATGCTACTTCCTGGCACAGACGTGAGGAAGAATGAGGCAACCTCTTCAGGGGCTGACACGCAGTGACAGTCAAAGGTTAAGTAAAAATGCAGGGCATGGCTGGGTGCAGTGGCTCACGCCTCTAATCCCAGCACTTTGGGAAGCCAAGGCAGGCGGATCACCTGAGGTCAGAAGTTTGAGACCAGCCTGGCCAACATGGTGAAACCCTGTTTCTACTAAAAATACAAAAATTTAGCCAGGCATGGTGGTGTGCACCTGTAATCCCAGCTACTCAGGAGGCTGAGGCAGGAGAATTGCTTGAACCTGGGAGGCAGAGGTTGCAGTGAGCCAAGATCATGCCATGGCACTCCAGCCTGGGCAACAAGAGTGAAACTTTAAAAAGAAAAAAAAAAAAGCAGGGCATGTGGCAGCATGCAGTAGAGCGTGTGCTGCACATTCCCATGTGTGTGAAAACAAGGAGAGGGAGAAATGTCTGTTTGTTTACACATGCAGCAAATATTTCTAGAAAGATATATAAGCCCCTACTCTCAGTGGCTGCCTCTGTGTGGCTTAGGATAAGCGTGGAGGGAGAGACCCTCTCCATGGAATGGCCTTTTGCATCTTGGATTCTGTGGCCAGGCTGGTGAGGAGGAGGTGACTACAGGTCCTGCGTATTTGAAGTATGTGGCCATTCCTCCTTCCCCTTCTCTACCTTCCTCCCTAAGTCCGTTCTTCGCACACCCATAGAGAAAGCCTTTGTGTCTCAGACCCGAGGACAATTCCTCATGGGTTTTCCATCTCAACAGAGGCTCAGGTAATCGTTTCCTCTGCGGAGCTTGACAGTGGTGACTAGGGATGACAGAGACTGGTGTCTTATGAGTCTAAAGGAAGGAAAGTGTGATGGGCACAAAACAGTCCAGGTACCATGAGATGAGGAACCCCATTGTCAGAGAGGCTGTGAGGATCACAGAGTTAAGGAGGGTTGCCTGACATCACACAGCTGCGCCTGGTACCTCTGGGATTTGACCTGGCCAGGTCTGGCTCCAGAGCTCCCTAACCCAGGGAGGCAACCAGGGTAATCTGTCCTGGTTTCACAGGTGACATTCTCCCCTCCTGCCCATTCAGGGATCAAGGCCACATTCAAAGCTGGCCAAGTTTATCCTGCACCCCAGGGCCATACCTGAGAAATTCAGTCAGGTTGGGCAGGGTCCTCAGACTGTTTGCCAGGCAAGTCCTGCCCTCTACTCCATGTGCCTCAGTTTCCCTGTCTCTGACATCAGCTCACACTTCCTACTCTGCAGCCTTCATTACCATAGTCTTCCAGTCATCCTCTAATGACCATTGTGTCCAGGCCAGTCCCCAGCTTAAAGGTGTCATGGAAGTTGACAGAAAGAAGCAGGCAGCTTGTTCATGGTAGCTGCGGCTCTCCTGCAGGAAAGCAGACTATCAGGCTGAGCTGTTCGCTGCGTCGTGCAGCTACTCCTCCAACGGCCACACGAAAAGGTGCTATTATGAGTACCCCCGTTTAACGTTTGAGGAAACTGGAGCTCAGTAAGTTTCTGTAACTTTGCTAATCTCCTTTCACCATCCTTGCTGCCTCTATCACAGCTGGAGCAGAGAGGGTGGAGCCTAAATCCACGCCCGAGATACTGGGGCTGGGGGAGGGAAGCTGTGGATCCAAGCAGTGTCCAGAGGGACAGAGCAGGCGGCTGTGGCTGTGCAGGGGTGGGGGCCAGCGGGTGGGACCATTGCCATACACAGATCACAGCAACGGCCTCAACAGTGTCCTGCTCCCCACATCCTTGCCACATTCTGTGTTTCGCCTGGCCAATCCAATGGCAAAAAATAATGGTCCTCTTTAGTTTGTTTAATCTCATTTTTTTCTAGTTACACAGCAGGTGAGGGTGGGTGGGGTGTGTGCAGTTTTTCCTGACCCTGAGGCCCATACTCTTAAACCATTGCTCAGGTCTGCATTCCAAGAAATGCAGATGACAGAAAGCGCCTTCTAGGACATTTTTCAGGCACATGTATGCATGTTTTTAAAACAAAATGTCATCAGAGATTCATAGAAGGTATGGATTAGAGACGGGGTCTCGCTCTGTCACCTAAGCTGGAGTGCAGTGGCATGATCATAGCTCACTGCAGCCTCCAACTCTTGAGCTGAAGCAATCCTCCCACCTTGGCCTCCTGAGTAGCTAGGACCACAGGCATGCAGTGCTGCACCTGGCTAATTGGATCTTGGATGATCTTGGCACCAAAAGCCTCTGCTCACCGCTCACCCCTCATTTTGCCCTGAGAGGGTCGAGGCCCAGAGCAGGCAGAGACCTGTCACATGCATGCAGCAAGGGGACCGCCGCCCCAGGTGAGACCCAGATCTCCAAGTCCCTGCCTGGGCTCCCCTCTTTGGACTCACAAGACCCTAGAGCCTAAAGGCTGAAGAAATAGAGGATAGGCATGACTGAGGGGTCAGGGTATGCTAATGAGGCTGCCAGCTGTGAGGCCTAAGAGGGAAGGCTGGGAAGATCCTCACCCCTCACTGCTTGGCTATGGGGATGGAGCTGCAGCTTTGCAGGATGATGTGTCTGTCTGTCTGTCTGTCTCTTTGCAGTGGTACACACCAGAAGCCTGTTTGCAGCTCAGGGAGCACTTCCATGGGCAGGTCAGCGCTGCCTGCCAACGCAGGAACACAGGGACTGTCGGGTGAGCCTGCAGGGCGTGGGATGAGGGAGCAGATGGCAGAAAGGAATGAGTGCATGAATGCACGTGTGAAAGAATAAATAAATGAAAACACAGAGTCGAGGCTGGTGTAGCGCTGTACAGGCCTGAAGATGGCTGGGGTTTTTATCTGGCTTCAGTTAACACACCTCTGCCATATGGAATAACCTTCCGTCTTCTAAGTCAAGCGGGTGATTTTTTGACCTGAGGTCTCAGCACAGGTCCTTTTCCTCTGTCTGGAATGTCTTTCCTAATCCCCTCACTTCCCCTTCCCCTTCTGGTCTCAGTGTAAGCATCAAGTCCTCTGGGAGCCTTCTCTGACCCCCCACTACCCTTGCCTCCAAGCCTGGGCTGGGGAGGGTACCCCTCCTGGGTGCTCTTGTGCCCCAAGAACTTATCTCACAGAATTGCAGGCTGCATTCCTCACTAGAATACCCCAAGAGGGTGAGGGCTGTGTCTGTCCTGTTCCTGCCACGGCAGCACCTGCCACCACCAGCACAGGGTTGTGAAATAGTCATTCCTTCTTTCCACAAACACGTACAGGGGCCTGCTTTTGCCCCTTATCCTCGGGAGCTCATAGTCTGCTCAGGGAGTTGGCTGAGCTCACAGGGGTCACACAGGTGTAATGAGGCTGCCAGAGAGTGCAGCTAGAGGTCCCCAAGCTGCACAGAGTGAGTGAGGCAGAGCTCAGATCAGAATGGCCAAAGCGGCCATGGTGGTGGGATGAGAGTAATGGCATCTGCTGGGGAATGCTGGTGTCACATCAGGTACTCCACACAGATGATCTCCCTGACCCCTGACAGCAGCACTGGAAGTGGGGAAACAGGATCAGAGGGTACCTGCTGTAAGACCTTGTCAATACCTTTACTCACCGGGCGCAGTGGCTCATGCCTGTAATCCCCGCACTTTGCAAGGCTGAGGTGGGCGGCTCACCTGAGGTCAGGAGTTCGAGACCAGCATGACCGACCTGGAGAAACACTGTCTCTTCTAAAAATACAAAATTAACCAGGTATGGTGGTCATGCCTGTAATCCCAGCTACTCAGGAGGCTGAGACAGGAGAATCACTTGAACCCAGGAGGTGGAGGTTGCAGTGAGCCAAGATGGTGACATTGCACTCCAGCCTGGGTGACAGAGAGAGACCTTATCTCAAAAAAAAGGGGGGGTGTTTAAGAGCAGCA